AATTTAATTATCGATTAATTTATACCAGAATGCTTTCTCTTTCTTTCTTCTTCTGTCCCTCCATCCCATCTCTGCTTCTATATACTGACCACATTCTAGTGGAGGACATAGCCTCTGTCAGTTCAAGAGTTCCACCTTTTAGTTAGACAGAACACCAAGGCCAAAGAAAGAACTCCTTTTCCGTTGCCAACCTGGATGATTTCATGGAAGGAGTGGTCTGACACAAATGCATGCCACGTCTGTGTTTTGCACCAACCACTAGGGTCAGGAGGGCATATCACAATGATTGACAAACAAACGAACATATTAGCTCCGTTACCATTGTACACATAGATTTGGGCATTTGTAAGTATTTTCTTGGAATAACTAACTACAAATGAAATTGTAGTCAGAGGTTTTAGACAAAGTTTTTTACATGTTGTCAACTTGCCCACCAAAAACTTCATGCCACTTTACCCTCTCTCAACAGCGTGTGACATGGCACATTTCCCCTCACCACAACCAACACTGAATAATACTGTTCTTCATTATTGCCAAGATGACAGGTCAAAATGATATTTCACTGTTATTTAATTTATTTATTTATTTATTTATTTTTGAGACAGAGCCTCAAGCTATCACCCTGGGTAGAGTGCTGTGGCATGATAGCTCACAGCGACATCCAACACCTGGGCTTAAGTGATTCTCTTGCCTCAGCCTCACAAGTACCTGGGACTACAGGAGCCCGCCACAACACCCGGCTATTTTTTGGGTGTAGTTTTCATTGTTTGACAGGCCTAGGCTGGATTCAAACCTGCCAGCTCTGGGATATGTGGCTGGCACCTTAGCCACTTGAGCTACAGGTGCCACCTTCACTGTTATTTTAATTGCAGGGGTTTTTTTTGAGACAGAGTCTTACTCTGTCGCCCTGGGTAGAGTGCCATGGCATCATAGCTCCCAACAACCTCTTAGACTTGAGCAATCCTCTTGCGGCAAGCACCACAATGCTGGGCTAGTTTTCTGTTTAGTAGAGACAAGGTCTCACTCTTGCTTAGGGTAGTCTGGAATGCCTGAGCTCAAGCAATCCACCGGCCTGGGCCTCCCTGAGTACTAGGATTAGAGGTGTGAGCCAGCTTAATTTGCAGCTTTTTTTTTTTTTTTAGAGACAGAGTCTTCTCTTTATCACCCTCAACAGAGTGCCATAGCATCACAGCTCACAGCATCCTCCACCTCTTGGGCTTAGACGATTCTCTTGCCTCAACCTCCCAAGTAGCTGGGACTACAGGTGCCTGCCACAATGCCTGGCTATTTTTTTGTTGCAGTTTGGCCAGGCCTGGGTTTGAACTTGCCACCCCTGGCATATGGGGCCAGGGCCCTACTCACTGAGCCACAGGTACTGCCCTAATTTGCAGTTTTTGATTAGTCCTGAAGTCAAGCATTCTTTTTTTTTTTTGAGACAGAGTCTCATTTTGTTGCCCTGGGTAGAGTGCTGTGGCATTGCAGCTTACAGCAACCTCCAACTCTTGTGCTTAGGCGATTCTCTTGCCTCAGCCTCATGAGTAGCTGGGACTACAGGTGCCTGCCACAACCCCTGGCTATTTTTGTTGCAGTTATCACTGCTGTTTTAGCTGGCTGGGACTGAGTTTTAACCTGCCATCCTCGGTATATGGGGCCAGCACCCTACCCTCTGAGCCACAGGCTCCTCCCAAGTCAGACATTCTTTCATAGAAATATATTCGTACAGTGGCTATTTACTGATTGCCAAGTGTGTCACTCATATATATAGCGATAGTTTCAAATTTAAGTCATCTGCCTTTATTTTCTATTTTTAGAGTCAGGGTCTTGTCATGTTGCCCAGGGTGGGCTTGAATTCCTGGCCTACTTTTTATGACTCTTTGATATACAAATTTTTAGTATCTGTGTCAAGGCTATCGATCATTTCCTTTATGATTTCTGCCTTTGATGTTGACATAGGCTTCAGACATTTTTAGCTGGTCACATTTGGCATGTCAGCCAGGTTCTGTTTAAGATTTGCCAAGTCATGTGTAAAAGTCAGCCTTGGGTATATATCTGGTCTGGATCTTAATCTACTCTTTCTTCTAAGACTCCCAGGGCTGCAGGCAGCAATTCAAAACACCGTTTCTCCCAAAAGGCTAATTAAGAGAGGCAGTGCTTCTCCTGTGGTTACCAAGTTCATCAATGACTCAGGTTGTAAGCAGATATTCTAGTCGATGATGCTGATTATTAAGAAAATCTGTGAAGAGTATTACTAATAAGCCAAATAACAACACACTCGCTTTTTTCATTTAGAGCCTTTTAAAATTTCATTTGCTCTGGTCTGATCACTAGGTTATTTCCTGGTAGTCCCGGAAGGAAAGCCGAACAACTGTCTCCAGGAATGTAGATATACAAGAGTGGTTCTCTCATATCAAGTCATTTAAGTGGAACAAAGGTGCCTTCTACTTTGGGGGGGGGGCTCTTTTTTTCTTGGTTTGTTTGTTTGTTTTTGTCACCCATTTTGTCCCATTTTGTCACCCTGGGTAGAGTGTTATGGTATCATAGCTCACAACAACCTCAAACTCCTGGGCTCAAGCCATCTTCTTGCCTTAGCCTCCAGAGTAACTGGGCTATTTTTTAGAGACAGGGTCTTGCTCTTGCTCAGGCTGTTCTCGAACTCGTGAGCTCAAACAATCTACCTGCCTTGGCCTTCCAGAGTACTTGGATTATAGGCATGAAGCACCACGCCCAGCCATACCTTTTTGTTAAATATTCTTCATACTCAGTAAGAGTAACAGACTGTTAACAGGAAGACTCTGGCTTCTTGGCTTGTCAAAAGGGGCCTTCTAGAGTTTCTTGGCAGTTTCCCAGCCCCAATATAGTTTTCTTATAACCTGTAAAATACACAAAACCTTCCTTCTATCTTTTGTTGGGCAAAAGTAGTGGCCAAAGGAAATACTTTATAACTGTTCTATTTAAAATGGTAACTATTAGCCACAGGTGGCTATGGACACTTGGAATGCAGCTAGTAAAACTGAAGGGCTAAATTTTTAATTTTAAATTCAATTTTAATTAAATTTAGGAAGTCACACGTAGGGTTATCAGAATTAACAAATAAAGCACAGGCTGCCCAGTTAATTATCAATTTCAAATAAACAACATGTAATTCTATAGATTAATTATACTCCAAATATTTCCTAGAACACAGTTATACTACAAAATTATTCTTTTACAACCTGAAATTTGAATAGAATTGGAGATCCCATATTTTATCTAGCAACCTTATGCATGTGATTTAGGGCTACCATGTTGGACAATGCAGGTATGGTGTGTTCTGTTTTTTGCAGAATTCTTCAAAATCATGTGCAAACTCCTACAGAATCTAAATGGAGGAAAAAATGATTATCATCATATTTTGACAAGAAATAGTCACCTGAATTCTGAAAGAAACCCATCCAATGCCATGGCCAGGAGTATTCAATGAAACCAATGAAATTCAATTCAACAGTTGTTCATTGGATGGCTTCATGTAAGAACAAATATCCAGCTATGTATACCACAGGTATACTTTAGGTACTCCTGAAGACTTGTGTCCCTGTGTCCGTTTGAATTGGTTGCTGCCTGTGCAGTACTGGTGTTAACTTTTTTTTGAGACAGAGCCTCATTTTGTGGCCCTTGGTAGAGTTATGGGGCATCATAGCTCACAGCAACCTCAAAATCCTGGACTCAAGCGATTCTCTTGCCTTAGCCTCCTGAGTAGCTGGGACTACAGGCACCCACCATAACACTGGCTATTTTTAGGGACAGGGTCTAGCTCTTGCTCAGGCTAGTCTCAAACTCCTGAGATTAAGCCAATCGCCTACCTCAGCCTTCCAGAGTCCTAGGATTACAGGCGTGAGCCATTGAGCCTTGCCTTGGTATTAACTATTTTGAATATCATCTTTCACTATGAGGAAAATAAGGTGGGCCAGGTCTCAAAATGCTCCTTTCCAGAAATTGACAACCTGTTGGAGAAGTCAGATACTGACTGGAAAAACAAAGAAACAAAATAAGAAGTTTTAAAATACAAGACAGATTCTAAGTGATATATACCAGGAAAATGCTATGGGAATATAAGGGCTCAGCCACCACTGAGTAAATGATATTTTGTTTGGGCTTTTTTTTTTTTTTTTTGCTAAAGTCTAATAAACTCTCATCTTCCCACCTTTTCTTCTAAGGGCTTGAATTTAGGCATATTTGGACTTAAATGTCATTAGAAAATTTCCCTACTTTCTCCAAAGAAAGCCAGTGGATCTCTCAGTCAGGATCCCCAAACTAGAGTGCAATGTGATTGAAAAAGATATTTACTAGGCACCCACTCTGTGCAGTGTCTTTGATTCCAGGCTCCCAGGTTAAGTTGCCAGGTGTAGCAGTTCATTTATTCTACTTTTCTAATTTCTACAGTCAAGAAATGCAGCCAGCCAGGGCTCAGCATCTGTAGTACAGTGGTTACGGCGCCAGCCACATACACCGAGGCTGGCAGGTTCAAACCCAGTCTGCGCCAGCTAAACAACAATGACAACTGCAACAAAAAATAGCCAGGCATTGTGGCAGGCACCTGTAGTCCCAGTTACTTGGGAGGCTGAGGCAAGAGAATCGCTTAAGCCCAAGAGTTTGAGGTTGTTGTGAGCTGTGACGCCACGGCACTCTACCAAGGGTGATATAGTGAGACTCTGTCTCAAAAAAAAAGAAAAGAGAGAAAAAGAAATGCAGCCAGGCACAGCAACTTGTGCCCATAATCCCATATACTCAGGAGGCTAATGTGGAAGGATCACTTGAATTTCGAGGCTGCAGTGAGCTAAAATTGTACTACTGCCCTCTAGCCTGGGCGGCAGAGCAAGATCTAGTCTCAAAGTTAAAATGCAAAGATACCTCCATCGACAATAGACATAGCTGGACCATACTCCAGGAGTCATCCAGCGCGTCTTCAGTGCAGACAGTTGACAGTTACAATACGTCCCTTCCCACTTCCAAATCTTAGCTTGTAGATAAGGATCTCTCACTTCCCCTCTCCCACCCCTCCCTGCAATCAACGAACCAAAATTTCTCCTAAATGTTTAACTTTATATATGGTATGCCTCACTGCTGCTCAGCAAGCACAGGGCAGACGTAACCCACAAAAGTTTTAAGACAGACTGTGTTATGGTTCATTATTTCACTCTCAAGAAACACAGTCGTGGTTCAGTGCCCATAGCACAGTGGTTACAGTGCCAGACACATATACCAAGGCTGGTGGATTCGAACCTGGCCTGGGCCAGCTAAAACAACAATAACAACTGTAACAAATAGAGTCAGGTGTTGTGACGGGTGCCTGTAGTCCCAGCTACTTGGGAGGCTGAGGCAAGAGAATCACTTAAGCCCAAGAGTTGGAGGTTGCTGTGATCTGTGACGCCAAGGTACTCCACCAAGGGTGACATAGTGAGACTCGGTCTCAAAACAAGAAATTAAAAGAAAAGAAAAAAGAAACACAGTCAACAGCATTCTTTCAGATTCACCTGTACAAGTTTCAACTTGCTTGGCCTGTTAGTGTTGCTAGAGGACTTCGCTTGTTTCCATCTGTGCTAATGTTATGTTTCTTGATTTTTTTTGTATCTCAAAACTTTTGTAATGACCCATACTCTGATTTTTGCAGCTGGAGCTGTTTGCTCCTCATAGCTGAATACCTCTACTGGAAGGGCCCTTAGCAAGGGAGCTGCCTTATACAGGTCACACCCCTTCCAGGCAGGATCAAATGACTAGTCAATAAGGGACACAAAGGCCCTGTACACTCAGCTGAGGCCTCCATGACAAGGGCCTCACTGCAGTTCAATTTCTCCCTTCACACAGTGCAGCTGCCCTTAGTCCCAGGTGTTGTCATTAAAGAGCAAACCAGCCACCCAACCCCACTTGCACATCTCTAAGAGTCAGTTCCTAGGGAGCCTTACGTAAGACACAGGTTGTTGAAATATCTTTTAAGTAACCTTCCAGGTTCTTAGAACAAACTCGTAGCTTTGTTGAGGTCGGCTTTTTTCTATTGCTTGGGAAAAGCAAAGCCTAAAATGTCTTTTTCTGGACAGACATGCAATCTTCACAGAGGCAAGAGACTGAGAAGTTTGTGGAATGAGAGAGGAATTTTCCAGGGTTGGTTACATTAAGTGGGATCACTAGACTGGCAGGTGCTTGCAATCAATCTTCCTACTCTTTTAGTAAAATGCAGGTGACTCAATGAAATCTATAGATCTTTCCCCTTAAGTAAATCCAATTTTGACCAACAAAATAGTCACTTGTTACGGTGAACAAATCCCAAGAACCAGTGTCACCCTCTGCTAAGAGTAACTACTTCCTCCTTCTCCCATTGGACCCTCACTGATGGCCCTCCTGACTAACTTTTTCTTGCGAGACTAAAAGCTGCTCTTTGAAATCTTGGGAGTCTTGACACCTCTGACTCACAATGGTTTCACCCTGTGGAATGTGACTAACATGTCTTGTGTTGCCAGCTGCCATCCATCCATCTCTCCCCTTGGCTTTATGCCTTCTCTCAGCTTAGCTGCAAAGTGGGGATGAGGGTGCATGAGAGGGCAGTGCCACTATGTGTGGCATTCCTTCCATGGACCAAGCACTGTTCTGTGTACTGCACATGACCTCATTAAATCTCACGATAACCCTACAGTTAGCTACACCTGCTTTCTCCCCAAACACACGACACCACGGTTCAAAGGATTATAAACTTAATGCTTTCAGACCTAAACTTCTTAGAAAGTTGTCAGACTCGGCTAGGTCTGCAGGGATTGTGAAGTACTGTCTTAGGTTAATTCTATTAATAATGTTATTAATGTTAGTCTTTTTTTTTTTTTTTTT